CCCTCCCCAGCTGACATGCGAGGGCTAAGCACTGCGCTGAAGATCAGGGCTTTACCCCTGAGACCCCTTATTCTGGCCCAGCTCTGCTAGCACCTAGACACCAACCGGACCAAGAGCAAGAAAAACCACGGTGTGTATCTTTCGGCTTTTTTTTTTTTTTTTTTTTTTTTTTTTTTTTTTTTTAAATGGGGGTGGGTGGTGCTTCTTATGTGCATACCTTTTTCTTTCCTTTTTTCTGTTTTGCAAATTTTCTTCTTCTTTTTCCTCCCCCCTTAGTTCGTAGGGGTTTGAGTGAGTTTCCGATTGGGTCTTCCTGCAAATCACTTGTCTATCATTAATTTTAAACAATCTTCCCACCTCCAAAGACTCTCTTCCTTGTTGCAGTTTGGGATGTGGTTCATGATAACCAAATGAGGAGGATTTCTGGGGCAAACACGGCCGAATCGGGACTGTAGGTCTCAGACACGGAATGGTAGGTGGCTCTGTTCCTTTTGGGTCTAACCTGATTAGGGAGGGTGGGTGAGGTCTCTTCGTTGCTCCCGGCGGGCTGGGAGAGGGAGAATGGGCACCCGAAGAGAGCTGGGGTCTCAAGTGTGCTCACCTGTCAACTAGCTCCCAGGCAAGAAGCTACAAGCTTTCTCCCTAGGCGCAGAATCTCCTCAAACCGGCTTTCTGTGCGGGGTCAGGGGCACAGAGGGTTGGGAGGGAGCCGTGTGATCCTGAGGGGGCTTTGAGACCGAGGTAGAGTTTCCGAGGGCAAGTGGCTCCCACACTGGGCAGCGGGCAGCTGTGTCTGTTGGAAGTGCTGACCTCGTCCCTCTCTGAGGAATGCTGTGATTTCCATAAGATATTAAAAGATAATGTCATTTAGTATTCATCTATGTCCATTTCCAGGCAGTGAAATATTTTGGTATATATTTCTATAATCTGGCAAAGAATTAAAAAATATCAATTTGCAGAGAGACTCTGGGCTACATTTGGATTGGGGAGAGGAATAGAGAGCAGGGTCAGGTTAGAGATCAGAGAAAACATTGGCACTGCAGTCACCTAGAGAAGTAAGAGGTCCCTTTAAGAAAGTGATCTCCTGCTCACAGCAGGCAGCATTTTTTTTTTTTTTTTTTTAGTGGCAAGGTTCCCAGGTATTTTGTGCTGGGAGGCTGTGTCCCCTACAAATGTCAGAGCTCTTTGGGGAAAAAATATATTCTATGAAATGATCATGGCAATATATTTAGCACAATTTATGTATTTGTGCTTTCAACATCCTGAATGGTATGTATGGACTGGCAGACCTTCAAGTCAATTGGGCTATAAATATTTCAAGACAATTGCATATGTTTTCTTTTTTTTTTCCCTCCTACACTTCAATCTGGAGACTTAGTGGTCATTTTTCCAAGGTTACTGAGATTGAGCCCCAGAATCAGCCTGGCTTACCCATGGAAGTCGGCAGCAAAGCAATCATAAGGTTGTTTGTATGGGATGCTCTTGCTGCAGCGGGGATGGCACCACACAGCAGCCCTGCTGCCTCTGTTTGTTGACAGCAACTTCCATGAACACCCCAGCAAGGAGCAGGCTAAGTCCTGCGGGACAAGCCACAGTTGAGACGGAAAGAAAATGGGTGTAGGTACGCAGGCAGCAGCAGCCCCAGGCTTAGTTTCTCTTTCCGTCTCTGTCTAGGACTCCTGACTCTGGAAGAGCTCCCAGTATGAAGATCAACGCATTTAAAATGGTTGCAGTAATGACCATTTCCCCCAGGGAGGCCTCTGTGGCAAGCGTGTATGTCGTGTATACAGACAGCGGTGCTCAGGAGCATTCAGCTCCACTCCGAACCGCTGGATTTCAGGGGCTGGGCCATTCAGATATAGCGATTTTGCTGTTTCTGGGATGTGTTTCTTTCTCCGTCTTGATCTCACCATTCTTAATGCCATAAACTGTTGGGTTAGCTTATTTTATCATATGAACAAATGTCATTTCCTTCCCTACAACAGGACTAGGAAGTCAGATGACAAAGGTGGTGTGACCTTAGATATTAAAGTCCTTACCCTTCTTCATTTGCATATCACTCCTTCCACTGTTGCAAAGTGTCTTGAATTTGAGGGACTTTTATTCTAGCAAAGGCTTTGCAGTTTCACTAAAAAAAGATTCAGGATGATGAGGTGGTAAGAAATATACACAGAGGGGAAAAATCAGCTGTCTCCAGCTTCTGCTGCTTGGCCCAGAGCAGCATCTGCTGCGGGGAGCAGGGCACTCGCTGTGCTGGAAGGGATGTTTATGAACAGATCCCAGAGGAACAAGCGGGTTTTTGCTGTCATTGTCTGGCAGGTCTGCAGCTATTAGCATTTACTGCTTTCATAGGATGTGATCAGTATTCACCAAGGTTAAAAGGATTGGAGAGTTGGTTGTGAGTGTTGATATAAGTAATTTACAGTTGTAGGAAAATTAACTCATTGTTAGTATATTCTATAGGAATAGCACTAGCAAAAGAAATTTTCTGTGCTGAAGTAATCTGAAAAAGCTTCCTGTGACTAAAGGCACATATATATTTAAAGTTTGATTGTGGCTTCATGTGAATGAATCTTCGAATATAAGCTTAGTTACAGAGGCTTTTACACTGATGATAAAACATGAAGGCAAGGTGAGTGAGTGTTTTGTTTGTTAAATGTGGGGATAGACATCCTCTCTTCTTGTTCTAGTTTTGACTTGCGGTCAAATTTTCAGCTAAAGGACTTGGACTGGAATTGCTGTGTTCAAATCAAATGATTGCTTGGTTGCTTATATGAAAAATGAACTCCGAGCAACAGTCTTCCTTCAGTTACACTCAGAAGTAAACAAACTGGCTTCTTAAATTTTCTTCATTGCCGGCTGGGCTTCCTCTGGTGGTCTGTTGAAGCTTTGGGCTGGATACTGTAACAACCACGCAAACAGAGGCACTAAAGTGTTCAGCAAGGAGGAGAGCAGAGCACAGTGCTCTGCCTGCTGCCGGCTCACTGAGCACCTTCCTCTGCCACACAGGACGGATTGCTGCTCCTTCTGAGAGCCCAGGTCTTGTGGAGGAAGTTGACAAATAAGGACAGATTCCATTTGTAGCTTTAGTGTATGGCATATAGTGATGGCGTTACATAAGTCTGAGATGAGGCACTGTACTGCTGATTCAGAAGGAAGGTCATATATTGACTGCTTGGAAGAGAAGGTGTAATTCAAGAGTTGGAATGTGGGGCTGGGGAAATGGCTCAGTGGAATAAGCACTTCCCTGGCAAGCGCAAGGGTCTGAGTTCAATCCCCAGTTCTGCCAAAAAAAAAAAAAAAAAAAAAAAAAGAAAGAGTTGGAGTGTGTGTTTGTGGGTATTCACCTATATATGTGTGCTTTATTAGCAAGGCTGGAAGGTTCCAACTAGACACTTTATGGTTTGGATATGTTTTACCCTTGTGCCAGAACAAGGCAAAGGGAGAGGAAAAGGGAATGCTGTGTGTTTTGAGGATGTGTATTTTTCCTGTATTAAATAGAGAGAAGCTTCACTTCCTATAGTAACGCTTTATAGAAAATCTAGTGGAAATATCAGGTGATACTGAAAATATCTAAAAAGAAACATATTGCATTTGAGAATTAGACTACAAACATACTTATTTTTTGGTAAAGAATTTTAATTGATGTTTTGGATCCAAGTGAGGCCACTATGGCCTTTCTCACTCTTCATCTCCCTGGACACCGAGACTTGTCAAACCATGAGCTTTTGGAAATGTTGCTTGTAGAGTGGAAACCCAGTGGGAGGAAAAATGGGGGAAGAAATACCCAAAGGCTGTGCTGAAAGTACCCTACATGCAGCTGCTCTATGACCCCTGTTGTGTGTATGGTACAGGTGGTGCTCCCCAAAAAGGCAACCAAGTAATAACTGAAAATTTGCAGAGTGGCCTACGCCACAAGACATAGGAGTTTTGCTGTTGCTGCTTCTACTTCTTCTATTCTTCTTCTCCTCCTCTTCTTTTGTTGATAGAAAATAAAAACAAAACCTAAACCAGCAGTGCCCTCAAGTATGTACTAGAAATACATACTAATGACTTAGCTTCATAGAAGCACAGCTGAGTCTGGTTTGTGGATATGAAACTGGTTGGGCACTCTAGGTGCTTCATGCCAATAGGTTTCTTAAAATAGCTGGCCTGTTTTTGTCCATTGAAAGTAGGGTCTGAAGCCACTGACAGTGAAAGAGAGCTCTTCATCTGCCTGTTTGGTAACATTCATTCGTGTCTTCAGAAGGAAGCTCCGTTTTAGCACTTACCACACAGTGGGAGTAACTATTCCTGCATCATCTATATTCCCTAGAGTATCCTCTCTGCCAGGGAGTGACTAAGGCATGCAGTAGAGGCCCAATAAGTACTTACGGAAGGAATATCCTCCATATGTAGAGTTTTCTGCTAAGTGCTCTGGGTGTAAGAGTTGGGAAAAGGGAACTCAGGTTTCTTTTTTTGTGGTACCAGCAATCATACTCATGACCTCAAGCTTACCAGACAGGTGCTGTACTGCTGAGATATATCTCCAGCAGAACTCATGTTTCTGTCATTTGTAGCATATGGTCATTTGCGAAGATGAGGTTAAAAAGCAATAAAGATTGAATTGGAGTAAGGGTCCCTATCAGGGGTTCACAGTGCATACAATAGAGATCTAGAAGAGCGAGAAAATGATCCCCTTTGTAAGTAACACTGCCAGCTACACCAGGATATTAGGCAAGGGTGGCAGGGTATTCCTAGGAGTCACAGTATTTAGCTTACCAGGAAAAAGATTCATATGTGGGGCAGATAAAGCTTATTTTTGGTATAGCAACTATACTTTTCAAACTAGAAAAACAAAACTTACAGTCTGACAATGGGTAGCCAATTAGAAACTGGGGCAGTTATAAAGAGCCTACTGCAGCATATTGCTGGGAAGTGATAGGCAATAAGGTTGTGAAGCAAGGTTATCATTAGATCAGATAATAAAGGAAATTATAGAGATCTACTTCTAACTTCAGACCTCTGAGTCCAGTCTTACTTTGTTTTCTTTACCTTAGAGTTTTTCATTGTTCTATTGACAACTGTACAGCTGATTTTTCTAAGGAAATCTTACAAGAAAAGCAGATGTAAACATAGATAACTATAGACCTATCTCATTTGAGGTTGAATTGATGCCTTTATTATAAAACCAAGTCCATAATCATAAAGTTGAATATCATGCCCACCCAGATAACAAATACCAGTTAAGTTTATGTCTGGATTTTATTTTTATTCTTATTTTTTTATGTCTGGATTTTAGAATGTATAGCTGTCCTAGAATTGAAAGCATCAGTGTTCTTGTGCTAGCAACATTTTTTGTACTGAGTTAACCGCTTGGAGATATTTTAGGTCCTTCCCTTGCACCTACCACCTAAAAAGCAATGGTCATTGTGTCTTTGATGTCAGTCTTTTAGTTTTTCTAAGAGCAAGAGAAACACTGAAAGTCAAACTCATCTGTGTTTTTTTCTTTTTCTTTGATTTTAGGCTAGTGTGAGAAACATCAGCGGCAAGACTGTCTCAGATCTTGGTTACAGCAACTCATGCAAGAAGCTATTGAACTAGATCCATTTCCTGTAGATGACAGACCACACAAGCAGTGGTGAGTTGCGAATATTAAAACTGTCCTTGGGCTGGGGAGATAGCTCAGTATAATAAGCGCTTCCTTGGCAAGCGCAGGGGCCTGAGTTCAAAAAAAGAAAAAAAAGAAAAAAAAAGTCCTTAACATAAAATCTGTGATCTGCATGACCAATTGCACATTGCATATGGTCCAGGGTATGCCCCTGAAGAAAGATTATCCTAAATAATATCAACCAAAGTGAAAATCAACAGGACAGGACATTTACTTGATGGTTCAGCTCTGCTAATACCACACTAGTAGGGGAGGTCTTGTGAGATGCCCCGACACTACCAGCATGGACTGCGCCAGCTCATGGCAGATGGCTGCAGTGGACAATTTTGTGTGGCAGAGAATCAGTTGGGGTTGTTATTTTTATATGAACTTTCTTATTTTCAGGGTAATACTGTATTATATTGCTTAAGCTGCTTTCATAGAAAAAAAAGTACTTCTGAGATCAATGACAATGCTTCGTTCCTTTCAGAAGCCCCAAAACACGTAGCATTTAGACTTTCAGAAAAAAGGAAAGACAAATTATGTCACAGGTTTGTGCAATTTAATTTATACCTATTTTAAGGAAAACAATATTGAAAATAGGTCCCATTACTCTACCTTGGTATAATTTTAAAACTTATTATTTTGTAAGAGTATCAGCACATGTGCAGAATATCTTTTTTCAATCAAATATTTAAAACTTCATCATCACCAAAGTCAGTAATCAATAGACTCCTACAGAGATGAATGAGTTATAATCTTTCAGATAACATCTTTGAGAATAGAATATGACAGCAGTGGTGTTAAGACTCCAAAAGAAGTTATTTTGAACTAATGATCAATATCTCTCTTTCATCTGCCTAGTGGCTTGTATAACTCGTGGTAGATGGGCTACCCTAGGAATTAATATATACCATCTAGCTGCAGAAGTAAGATGAAATCAATCTTATAGTTACTTCACATTGTGACTTTTAAAATAAACTTCCTACAGATGTATTAAGGAAGTAAATCTAGTCATCACCATTAGGCTGTGCTTAACCAAAATGTATTCAAGGGGGATTTGCCATAAAGAAGAACTCATATAATTGTTAATAATCAACTATTTTTGTTGCAATTTCAGTTTTATAAGGTTGAGCATAATTTTTTATGTGTTACTTCTAATGATGTAAAAACATGCATATTATCTCATGCTAACCCTTTATTCATTAAGCAAAAGTTAGTAAGAATCTGTGGTGCAAGTGTCTTGCTTAGCTTTGGGGTTGATGAAAGTCTTTGCTTTGAAAGCCTTTTGTACTTATAAGAAAGCATTCTGTTAACAGACATATTCTAAGCAGTATGGTCTAGGTGAAGTGCTATTCTATAGGTATACATATGGTGCTTACAGCAGGACTGCAGAGTGTGGCGTATGTGTGGTGGGAAAGGTCAGGGAAGGCTTCCGAGAGAAGTGAGATTGTAATTAGCTGTAAAAGGAATTTTGTAATTAGCAAAGAGGAAAGGAAGAGTCAGTGCAGAGTGGGAGAGGTTTTCAACACTCAACAACTTGAGAGAATGTGAATGGGCTGTTAGGTGGCATTTACTCTGCAGGTGCAGAGAAGGTAGTGGCAGAGCTATGGCTGGAGACGGTATAGGAGGTACCGTGCAAAATCTTTTAGACAAAGCCAAGGAATTTCCTTTTTAGTCTAAAGTAAAGTGCTTTTTGAAAGATTTTAAGTAGGAGGATAGCATCATTAGTTTGTTCTTACCCTGAGAAATATATTCACTAGATAATATATAAAATCAATATAGGTTAAAGAATAATTATAACTAAGGCATCATATAAATACTATATTATGGCATCACTTCCCAGTGAGCTCCTGTGTGCCCTTTTAAGATCACATGCTTTTTCTTCCCCACCAGAGGAGGTCATCAATTATGACACTTTTCTACTTCTACCGCTCATTCTCCTTCCTCTCTTCGAGGCTTTCTGTCACTGTATGTATACTATAGTGTACACTTGAGGCTACCTGTCCTTTAACTCCATGTATTTATAGTATGTATATATATCATAAAATATCTGATTATTTTGCTAGATGTTGTGAGACTTATCTATGTTCATGCTTGTAGTTTATGTCTTGAGACTGCTGCATAGGTGAAGTGCTATTCTATAGGATATTTGATAAACTCTAAGGCACATTTTATAACCGTGATTCAATAAGAGATGAAGTTAGTTTACGGGTTTATAAACTTAAGGAAGGTTTAAAGAGACTACAGTATTTATTTGGGTCAACTCTACTTCTTAAAGATGTACTGCCAGCTTCTAAAAGAGGGTAAGCTGCATAATATGCTACCCCAAGAATATACCAAGATTTAATTATTCATTCCATTTTTGGAAAAGGTTGGAATTATTCTCTTATTAGTTATACTAGTATTAAAATATACCATTTTCTGTGTATATCTCTTTACTATTTCTCATGGATTTTGTCACAAACATGTAAGGGATTTAAGAGGATAAATATCAAGGGAAAGAACTTTAGGTTCTGTGTACCATTAATTTTATTAAATATTTCTGAAATATTTTCCAAATTTGTTACATTGACTTGCACTACCAGAAGTAGTATTGGAAGAATTCTACACTCTCACCAACACAAGCTCTTAAGTTTTTCTAATCAGGTACATACATAATTGTACTCATAGAGGTATTAATTTGCATTTTGCTGATTACTAATGAAGACATCTTTTCATTTTTATTGGCCTTTTGAATTTCCTCTTTTGTGGAGTGCCTGCTTAAGTCAGTCTGAGATTTGTCTTTCCAAATAATGAACACTTTTGAGTTCTTACTGTGCAGTAGACACTATGCTAAGCACTTTGCAAATGCTCAACCTTTAATCATCTCTATGATTTACAGATAAGGAAACAGTTTTTGAAAGGTTAAAAACTTACAGTTACACAGCTAAGAAACAGTGAATTTAGCATTCAACCCAAGGTCTTTCTGACTTCAGAGTCCTTTAGTTTCTTGACAGTATCTGGAAGGGGGTGAGGTTGAAGCCGCAGAGAATACTAAGAGTGCAATTGCAGGATTCTAGTTAGGAAATACTAAGGGCACAACCAAAGAATTTTCCAATACAGCGTGTACAGTAAACACACGGTGATTGTGTTGGCTGAAAAGGGAGGATATACAGATTTGATAACTGTTGGTTCGGCAGCTTCAGTATTATTCATACAGTGTACAGTTCTACTCCTGATATTTGATAAACTCTAAGGCACATTTTATAACCGTGATTCAATAAGAGATGAAGTTAGTTTACGGGTTTATAAACTTAAGGAAGGTTTAAAGAGACTACAGTATTTATTTGGGTCAACTCTACTTCTTAAAGATGTAGTGCCAGCTTCTAAAAGAGGGTAAGCCTAAGAATACACACTGGAACTTCATAAAATATATATATATATATATATATATATATATATGCATAAATAGATACAGAAATACACAGATAAATAAATAGACACTGCCTGATTTTTAAATTATTAAGTGAACATACAATTAACCTACTTTGTTTCCTAAGCATTTCTTGTATCAGTCTCTTTGGATCTTTATCTATGATCCCTGCCCCGAGGCTCTGAGTATCATTTCCAGCGGGTCAAGCTGGTAGCCTCATACAACACCTTCTTGTCCGTGATTTTACGAATAAAATCACAACCTTAAAGGTTTGAATTGCTGTTGTAACACAGAGCATAAAGGCTCTCATAATTCATGAAATAATTTTTCTACTCCTTAAAAAATACAGTGCTGTGCAGCCCTGTTTTGAAGACTCGTGATGGCAGGGACATCAGTGTGTCCGATACAGGTGATATACTTGATAGCGTCTGTTCTGCTTGTGCTTCTCTCTTATTGATGGTTCCAAATTCAGGATGCTTGGACTTAGCTTTTGACTTTTCAGTGACACAAAAGTGAAGTGCATTCAGCAGGATCCACACATCACAGGCTTGAGACCTTGTCTGAGGCCACTAATGTACGTAGGGTGATGTCTTGTGGGCTTAGAGGCAGCGGCAAGTGGCACTTCACTGATATGTGAGATATGTGGCAGTTCTTTATAGAACTGGCTTTGCAATGGGTGACCTTGTATAACTATTAGGTAGCCTCAGCCCTTTGAACATGTTTAAGGTAAGCAGGGCTAGCTGTGGCCTCTAGTAGTTTAGGGGCATCAGATGCTTTTTAATTCATGCTATTTTCAATGTATGATGGGTTTATTGGGATAGACCCCCATAGGAAGCTAAGGAGCATATACTGAATATTTCTTTTGTATAAATGCTGAAGATGAGACTTTAAAGATTCAGAAACATTCTCCAGATCATGCAACAATGATAGCAGAGTTTAGAATGAATGATATCTGAGTTTTTATTTTTTTTTTATTACATGCTTCTCATCATTAAAGGTGAACACTGAGCCCCATGAAGGATTAAAATGCTGATATAGTTTGAAATCCAGGCAAAAATAAGTACAAGACTTCTAAGGAACAGCAATAAAATAAACAATTAAAGAAGCTAAAAATGACTACTATGGGCTTGGGGTACTAAATACCTTACAAATGAGATGAATAAGAGAAAATTCTGAAATGTGTTGGTTCATATTGTTGTTTCACTCTGTCAGTGGTGAAGTAGTGGCCAAGGTACATCCTTAGGACTGTTTAATCCTCGTAAAATCCAAACGAGTTGCCTTCATTTATGGTCTCTGTGTCTGTGGTCTCTCCAAATTCGCACGTGGGATCATACCCCCCAGAGTGATGGTACTAGGAGACGGGGCCTCCGGGAGGATGGATTAGGGAAGGAGGTTGAGGCCCTCACAATTGGAATAAGTGCCCTTATCAAATAGGCCTCCACAGAGATGCCTAGGCTCTTCTACAATGTGAGGACATAGGGAGAGGTGCCGTCTATGAGAAAGAAAACAGGCTGTCTCCAGACACCAAGTCTGCTTTGATCTTGAATTTTTTAGATTCCAAACTGAGAAATAAAGT